CCCGGTCCGCAGCGCCGACCATGGGCGCACCGGAACCGGCCGAGAGCCCGCACGGCGGGTGGCGGGTGGCGGAGACGACGGCGGCGGCTTAGGAGGCGACGACAGCTCGTCGGGACAACCGGAAGTTCGTACATCTCCGCAGCCACTGCTGCTACGGACGCCTCTGGTTGCTAATATGTAGGGGCGGGCCGCACTCAGTGACGTCAACTACTCTAGCCGACTGCGCACGCGCAGCAGTGGGACCTTCTAATGGGCAGGCCAATTTTGCTTTCTTTTTCTTTTTCTTTTTTTTTCTTTTTTTTTTTTTAAATTTTTCAAGAAACTTTGCTTTCATTTTTTTCAGTGAAAGGGCTGGCCCAGGTTGGGTAAACGGAGCAGGGTGAACGAAAATGGATTGTATGTCGTGTGCATCACATGTGTGAAAAGGAATTAAACTAATTCCCTGATGTCAAACTTCAAAACTGTGTCTCATCAGTGTGCTTTTGGTCCCAGTTCCCTCATCAGGATTACAAACTTCAAGGAGAACATTTTCAAGTTTAAAGGATCCCGACTTTTCTTGGAAGCTTTTACTTCAGAAAATGTACAGTTAATTCAGGTTTCCCCACTTTAAAAGATAAATATTTGTGAAGCCCTTTGGTTAGATTCCAGGGACCTGCAGTCATCCTTCTGAAAGACAATCAACAAGAGAACAGTCTCCATATTCCCTAGTTTCTGCAGTAGGATAGGACTCTAACCCAGGCAAGTTTCTTGCCTCAAGACGCAAAAACGACTCCTTGACTTGTAGAACACAGAAAACTGCCTTTCCCTTTGCATATTAACTTAGCAAATATGTGGACCCTTCACTTTCCCACTCAGTTTTATCTTACAGAACTTGAGGTCAGATTTCTTGTCTGCCTACATTTATATAAAGTTGTCTTTGTCTTAAGTTTCCCATTATGTAACAGTAAGAAGACTCAAATACCTACATTTTCCTGGGGCAGTGGGACAAGGATTGAGTATGTATATAGTTATATATTGTTAAATACTACTCAGTAATGGTAAATGTGATTAGAATTTTTGGTTCTTTGTTGAGATTTCTTTCAGTCTTTATGACAAACAGATTTTTAAGTCTTTCTTAAAGGAGTAAAGTTCTCAAGAGCCAGATGTTTAAGGTTCTGGAGCTAGAGTGTACTCCTTGAACTGGCCCTCAGCAAGATCACTCTGAAGACATTCCAGCAACTACAGAGGACCACTGAAGACATGCTCCAGACATCCTAAATCAGTCTTAGACAGTAGTAAGAAGCAAGACAAGCATTGATGAATTCTACTTAATTCTGTAGCCGTTTTCACCCGAGACCTCAAGCAATTCCTTTGTGATAGCCAAAAAGAAGAAGAAAAACAAAAAAGAACAGTCTGTTTTATGCAAGGCATCCATCTTCAGACCCATTAGCCATTTGTCTTCTGACTGCAGTCCCTGGAGTAAGTTCCCAGTAACCCTCACTTAGTGACCCCACCCAGAAATGTACAGCATTACTGCATGACTAACCGTGCTTTTGACGTCTTTAACTAAGATAGACAGATACCCAAAGATTGTTTTGAGTGGCCTTAACCACGTAAACTTGGCAGAACAGATCAGTTTTTGCTTGCTTGCATAAATATTGAAGGTCTTCTTGTGGTTTCACATAAAAACAACAACAGCAACCAAAAATTTTCCCCATACCCCTGCTTCACGACATATGTGAAATTGACCTTTAAGGCTGATTTCCTTCCAGCTGCTAATTAATAAACTTTTTAATTATAATTGAATTGAGTCTGTGGTCTTTTCCCAGGGGTCAAGAACTTCGTAACACCCTCTTGGCCCACAAGAGATCTGTGATTGGTACAATCCCTATGAGGTCTTGTGCTGTGATTTGTATAGATACACTGTCATTTACCTGCAGGTCTACTATGATTAGTCACCCTTGTAACACCTCCTTTCTGGATGCTTTAAGTAGGCTGTTGAGCTTAGTTTTGAGCCACTGGGTGACAGTCTTCTGTGTTGTTCCCTAGTGTTGCCACATTGGGCACAGTGGTTTCCTCTGTATTGTCTTTCCTTGCCAACGTTTTTATTTTCATCATCACAGGAGCTAAAAGAGTTGTAAGAGGAACAAAGGAAGAAAGATGTCACAACAGCAAAGTTTCAACAGTGTGAGGAGAAACAGTAAATCCTGGGTGGGGCCCAACCATAACAAGCTCAACAAAGAAGACCCAGGCACCACCTGAGAGGAAATGGACCACCTGAGAGGAAAGTACCTAACATTTCAAGAGCTGTAGATAGGAACACCTGATGCCCCTTAGCCCAACACACACCCATCTCCTTTCACAAGGACACCCTCAGGCAAATGTCAGTCAACCAGGGGTCCTGAGCCTTAGAAATCTCTCATCCCAACCTCTGTTAAGATAAAAAGCCCATCCCAATTGAGCTTGGGGCTCTCTGATCATGCCAATGCATTGGACACACAGAGAATCTAAGTTCCAACTTGAATAAAGGCTCTTTGCTTTTACATGTGTGGCTCGGTTTCCTTGTTTGTTCTGTGGGGTCTCCAGGATCTGGAAAGAATAACTTGATTATCAGAAGTCTTCCAGTGTGCTGTCAAACTTTAACAGGCAAGTATCTCAACCAGTGTAGGCCTGAAAACTGAGACTGTCAGGGCTGAGGGTTCCGACACCCTCTACTAGTGAGTTGTGGCATTTGCCACTGTTGCTCTGACTGTCCCAAACATAGAGTCCAGTGTAGGTCCTTCCAATTCTGGAAAGCTCTGCGTATTAGTGTTTGCAACTGTTTTGCACTGGCTCACTGCTGAAAATTTCAAAAGTCAGGGCTTCTTAGATCTCACAGAACGAAACCTCCAATCTAAGTACCTGGACACAAGAGCAGTACACTCCCAGGTAGCAATAGTTGAAGCAGTTCTGCCCCTAGGCCTTCTGTCCTCCAGAACTGCTGGCAGTGGAAAATATTCTCCTAGTCCACTAATTTTTCAGTTCAAATAAAGATAAAGGACCTCAACAAACTGGTTTCCAATGATTGAGAACTCCAGTTTAAGCAAAGATTAGCAAGAGCACATCTGATTTCGACCAGTTTTAAGAATCTGTATCAATTACCATCAAGTACAGATATGCTGCAGGATATTTGATTACACTGTAAACCCTGAGATTGCATTATGTACTGGGAAAAGCTGTTTCCTGGTGTATGGATCAGCTCTAGTACACACCTTTAATCCAAGAGATTTCTGCTTGAATATTGTAAACAGGATTAAATAAAATCAACCATAGGTTAAGAGGCAGAGCAAGTAACCAATTGTCAAGACAAAACCATAGAGTGTAAGAAGTCAAGAGGAAGGACAGAGAGACACACAGGAAGTAGAAGGGAGAGAGATCTGGTATGGGGGGGTTTGTTTGAGACAAAGTAGAAGAAAGGTCTTTGTGGAACAACAGCGGAAAGAGGAAGCAGCTGTGTGTGTTCTAAGCCTCTAAAAGCTAGCAGATTTTCATCCCAGCATCTGGCTCCTGAGTGTCTATTGATAAAATACACCGACAGAGACTTCGTTGATAAACAGCATTTGGTGTTCCAACACATGGTACAAACACATGGACAGAGAAAAACATGCCAGTGGAGGACAAACTTATGAATCGTCAGATTTGGTAAGATACCTAAGAAATCCTTAAAGAGAGAGTTAAGTAGTATTAAAAGGTAAACCTTTTATGCCAAATATGCGAAGTGGACTGAAAGGACAGTGAAGGAAGAGAACAAACTCCATTTTGAAAAAGTTTTCATTTTAGATAGGACATAACTGGGAGGGGGTTGAATGCAGCCCAGTGAAGTCATAGACATTCCCAAAAAACTGTGCCTGTTCTGGTCAAAGTGACCCATCAGTGTATCCAAAAAAACTTCTGTTTACATCTGCTTGCTTCAAACTTCCTTATAGGTACCTGATTTGCCACTGTTTTGAAATTCTCCTATACCCCAACCAACAAACTCAAAAGTTGTATACTTTTACCCAATCCCAAAATACCAAGATTTGTGACACCCTACTTGTAGTGTTTCCCTTTAAAATCCCCCTAACCTGAAGCCTCAGGGCCATTTTCTTCTACCCACTGTGGTTGTGTGATGGCTTGTATTTCGAGTTACCTTACTTGTAGTCAATAAACCCCAATGTGTTTACATAGGATATCAGCTCTGTGGTGGTCCTGTTTTGGGTCCCATGACATGGGCACAGAAATAAAAGCCTTAGAAAGACTTATAAATAAAAATAGTAAGATACAGAGAGAGGAATTTAGATAGGGACCTGCTGCACTACCCACATGATTAAACTGAAGATGAACAAGGTTATTAGAAAACCAACATTAGTTTATCCAATTGCTATGCAAGAACTACCAGGAGATGATAGGTACCCTCAAAGTTATCAAGAAATTAAACTAAATCCTATAGAAAAAATAGATTTGAGGAGATTTAAGGAGTCAATCATTTCATATAGGATGCACTCACCCAATGTAAAACAGATATTCAAGTCATGGCCAAGTCAGAACAGAATTGTCCCCCAAGACTGGAAAGATTTGGCAACAGCAATAGGGGAAACTGATC